TGTGTGTGTGTGTGTGTGTTTTTAACCCCTCCCTCACTCCTCGTCTTTTTTCAGTTTTCCCCTCACCTTTAAACTGTATATTCTAACACTGAGACTCTGATGACTGATGTCAAACAAACATAGAATTATTGTCCTTTAATCTGACCTTCTGTCAACAAGGCAGGTGGAGGATACAGGAAAAAAAATGTAGAGAGAAAAAGAAATATAGATAGATATCGTAACGTACAGTGTCGTCTCTAATAGAAATGGAGGTTTAAATCATATAGATAGATATCGTAACGTACAGTGAAGGTTTAAATGTTTATTAACATGAGAAATGATACTTTATACTTAAAGTTTGAACAGATTTTGACTCTGTTTTTGACTCAACCCTACAAAGATCAGTCACACGTGTGAATACTAAAGCAGCAGAGTGATGTCAACAAAGACTTCCTTCCATTAAACTATAAAATGTCTCCCTTCTTCCTCCTCAGGCCCAGAGACACGTCACGGACCTGTACGAGGACCTGAGAGATGGACACAACCTCATCTCCCTGCTGGAGGTCCTCTCCGGGGAGACACTGGTGAGACACAGTGACGTCGGACCATGAACGTCTCTCTAATTCAAACCCGGTCCTAAATCTTCCGTCCCGTTCCTTTTTTTCTTGCCGTTGTCGTATTTGTAACGTTAATGTCTTGACTGTGGAGTCAAACTCTCCGTCAGTGTCTCGTCTCCACTCACGCATGTGTCGATTCGAGCTGAGGTTATTTGACTTCACTGACTTCGCGCTGGTCGTTTTTGGTGGCGTCTGATAAAAAAAACAACCAAAACAAACTAATTTTCCTGATTTGCTTCCATCTTGTAACCTCTGCACTGACCTGTTTGACCCTCTTTGTTTTTTCTTTGCTTTGTTTCTGTTGATCTACTTCCTGTTTGTTGACCTGTCCCCTACTTTTGCCTCTGTCCTCCTCCTCTTGCGATGCTCGTGCTGTGGTAGCCCAGGGAACGTGACGTTGTGAGGAACGTGCGGTTGGTGAGTGGCGTCTGGACTGTAGGCCGGCCGGAGCATGTGTCGCCACCCCCTGGTGGCTGCTCGGATGTGCATGATGACAGTCACACTCCCTGTTTTTTTTTATTGATTTATCTTTTTGTTTCCGTTGTCCTTTTGTGTCAAACATCGTCCTTTTCCATCTAACCGAGCTAGCAGGGAGGCTAACACCGATCAGCGCTTGTAGCTGTCACTAGTGGAGGTGCATGTACGTACTGCAGGTCCGGCTGCTGTCTGTGATTTTAGAGGGAGTTAATGTTGATAAAGTGAACATTATCAGGATACGTTTTGAGTTCTTTTAGCTAAGAGTTAATCTCTCTATCTTGCTAACTGGCTACAGCTAGCTGTTAAAAAAAAACTGTCCGGTTGCTTTTTTATAGCTGTGTTTTATAACTTGTGCATGTCAGTTCCACTGAGGGTCGCTGTTTCCTGCAGAAGGTTAAAAGATGCAAATAACTTCATCTACGACTGGTGCAACTAAGATTTAAAAAAAAAAAAAGGTGTGAATATGTTTCGGGGAAGATGTGTCAGATTTATTATTGGCCAAATCTCTGAGCTCGTTCATCACCCATCATCATGCCGTCACCTGCAGAACTTCCTGGCTGGATCTTTAATGCATCTCTGGGTCATGATGTGCTGTCAGATCTGGCATTAGTCCAACCAAAAGCTTTTTTTTTTATTATTTTATTGTCGTAACGAAGGTAGAGACACAGAGTCTGAATTCCACGTCTCCTTCACTTTAAACTAAAAGTTGGGGTCGAGTCAGAGTTCACACCTGCTCCTCAGTCGTGGAGGATCTTTTGGAGTTTGTTCATCCAGTCGTTCACTCTTACCTGATGCTCGGTCTCGTCTCCTCTCTTTTAGCCTCGGGAGAAAGGCCGGATGCGTTTCCATAAGCTGCAGAACGTACAGATCGCTCTGGACTTCCTCAAACACAGACAGGTGAGATTTTTAATATTTTCAGTTCGTGTTTTGCCAAAAGGCAGAAAACTCCTGACTTCTTTATAAATTGTTGTCTGAATTCTGTGTTCAGGTGAAACTTGTCAACATCAGGAACGATGACATCGCAGATGGAAACCCTAAACTGACCCTGGGTCTGATATGGACCATCATCCTTCACTTCCAGGTAAAGAAAATGGACACATTGTCACTAGGAGTGTGTACTGGCAAGAATCTGACGATACGATACATCGTGATAGGAGTGTGTACTGGCAAGAATCTGACGATCGATACATCGTCACATCTGGTTCCAGTTCCAGCGTGTTTTCACAGACTACAGAGAACAGAACCAGGTCGATGTTGACACAAAGATCGTTGACTTTGAATGAAAACCTTTGTTCGGTGTTTATTCTTTGTGCAGCTGCCGTTGTTGTACATACGTGGAGTTGAGGTGCCGTCAAATGTTTAACGTCGGCCCGGAAATGATTGGCAGCTGGACTCGGCTGCTCCCAAACTGCTGTGTCAACACGGGGAACAAATAGACGCCGAAACACGGAACAGAGCTTTGAATTCTCCAAACTGCTGCGGAAGCAGAGTAATTACAGTGTAATGAAAATACATAAACAGTACCAAGTACTCGTTAGTCACAGAGCTCGTGTAATTCACTGACAATCTGCTGGTTAGAATATAAACACTGTGATCAGTCAGAGGAGAATGATTCATGTTCCAGAAAAGACTCTGCACACAGGAGTCTTCATGATTTAAATAGAAGAAAAAAGAAACGAACAACGTTTATAAAATAATAACACATTCATGTTGTTGATGATTGTGGTTTATGAGACGACTGAAAAGGAAAACGAGAATCTGAAGAATCTGCAGCTGAGAAACGTGTTTTAGTGTTAAACCTCGTCACTGCAGGAAGTGACGGTGTAGAAAAGTGATCAGATGTTTCTGAAGAGGACGCTCTACTTGATGTTTGGAAAAATCAGTGGGAGTCAAATGTGGATTCTTTGATCCTCTGATGGCTCTGATGGTGACGTTGGGATGTGGGATCCATTTTTATGACTCAGTGTTTCCCATGAGAAAGTTGGCCTGAGCCGTGGGTGGGACTTCAGAACCTAAAGACAAAGTAGACGATATCTTTGTGTGTAATAATAAAAAAAAAGGGTGTTTTGTTCTGGGCAAAAGTTTTAGGTGGATTTACAGTCAAAGATTGTGACAGCTTCAGGGATGAGGCTAAAAGTTACAGTTGGATTTAAACTCTTAGAGATTTTTGACAGACTTCCCTGATCAGCCCCGAATGGACGGAAGTTAAAAATCTGTTCTTCTACAAGAATAGAAGAATATACAGTTATATAACGTGATTTAATTTATATTTATATTTATTTTACTGGTGTGAATTTGTTTTCTCTCACGGCGCAGCGTTATTTCTGGTGTTTTTTGTTTGTTTTGTTTTGTTTTGTTTGGGGTATACATTGATGAGTCAGAGCAAAACGAATTATTTATTTCAGGAAAGGGTGGAGGAAGGGAAAAAAAGCAGAAGGCATTTCTTTCCTTCTGCTTTTTTCCACCCACCAGGGAAACCCCGTCGCTGCACCATGAAGATGGGAAGTAAAATAAAAACAGTGACTCAGAAGGAAAATGGAAAGAGAACGTCCGCCCTGTGTTACTTCATTCAAACCGTGCTGAGAGAATCCCCGCCCCCCGTGTTGAGATCAGTCACCTGATCGTTGGTACAAAGCTGACTGTACCTGGGAGAGCGAACAGGAAGTCCAGCATTGTTCCTAAAGACCAGCAGCCAAACCAAAACAAAGACATTAGGGTTCGTTCAGAGGAAATGGGTAGAATCTGACTGACGACTGAGTGGTCCAAAATATGGGTCTTGGTCCATTTGTAGCACTTGGAGAAGTTAAGCTTTGGGTGCAGGGTTTTTCAATCAAATAAGACATTTTAGAAAAAAAAATCAGTTTCCATGAGTTTATTGTGCTTCTTGCAGAGTTTTCTTTGTATTTCTGTAGCGACAGCCCCGCCCTTCTGGTACCTGCAGTGGATGAAAACAAACGCCCTGCCCTTCTCAGTAATGGTGGCCATTCACATGATTATAGAGGAAAAAAAACACAAGAAAAGTAGCAGCTCGTTGATGAATGTCTCCTGACGTCTGATTGGATAAATCTGCTCTTTAGTCTTTGTTTCTTTGTCGTTTATGAGGCGTGTGTTTTATCCAACACTGAAGCATCTGTTCGAAGCAGCTGCTGGATATTATTATAGAGACTTTGATAAAACTTTATAAGATCAGTGACTCACTTTTATCAGCTGTGTCCTGGCTGCCAACTCTCTGCAGGGTTGGTCGTTTTCTGTCCAAATCCGTGGCTTCGGTGAATTTCCTTTTGCTCTTTGTGGAAAACTGATGGGTTTCATTTCATTCCCATCTTTAATTGTGCCTCATTTAACATCTGGAAAACATTCAAGGGCAGAATGGAATTCTTTTTTTTTTTTTTTCTTCGCCCAAAAGTCCATGAAAACCATACCCATTTACAGCCTGGTTTTCATGAACTTAATGTGTTTTTATTTTATTTTTTAACTTTGACTTTTTCTACCAGACTTTTACTACAAAAAGAGTTTCTAGTTTTAGAGAGAATAATTGTATCCTTAAAGATCTTTTGACCCCTGACCCCTGACTCTTTCGTCTTCGTCTTGTGGCTCCAGATCTCCGACATCCAGGTGAACGGTCAGTCCGACGACATGACGGCCAAAGAGAAGCTGCTGCTGTGGTCTCAGAGGATGGTGGAGGGATACCAGGGTCTGCGCTGCGACAACTTCACCACCAGCTGGAGGGATGGAAAACTCTTCAGCGCCATCATCCACAAACACAGGTGAGACGATTGTTGACAACAACTAGAAAGTTGCTAAAGTTTTTTTGGTTTTGGTGGTAAATGTTTATGCGGAGAAATCGTGCTCCTTGCTAATGCTAATGATTGTCATAACCTTATTCTGAGCTAGTTTGTCAGCGGTGGATACAGATTCTTTTCTTTTGGTTTTGTTGATCGTGAGCCACGTTTTAACTTCAGCTCAACCTTGAATTCACAAAATGGTCCCAAAGACACAGTTTAGCCGTTAGCTCCAGCTCAGCAGGAGGTCAGTGTGAGGATGTGGCCAACATGGCTGACATGTTTCAAATCCTTGTTTGTCATCTTGACAAAAACCACAGGACGTAAATGTGAAAGTGTCTCCACTGCGGCCCAGGACGTTCAGCTGTTTTCCTTTAAAAACTGCACCGGGGCCAAGAGGCAAAACGTCCGGGGCATATTTGACATGTCGGGACAGATGAGAAGAGTTTGGTGTAAATCATAAAAAAATGTTAATGTTTCTTTTTGTGAATGTCAGATATTTTAACTCCTTCAGGAACTGAACAGAAGTCAGTGATGGTTTTCATTTTCATTTTTATTTTTATTTTTATTTTTATTTAATCCAGTCTACAGCTGTAAAACTACTTGTAGATCATTCACATAAATAACGAATATATTTGATCTAAATGTCGTTAAGGATCAGGATCTGCAGTGAGGAGTTTGGTGCAGCAGCAGCTCTTTACTGTTCATCGAAGGATTGTTAAGGATCAATTAAATTAAAAAGTCAAAGTATTTATTGAAAATAAAACATTTGTAGGCCGTTCAGTTAGTGTTAGAGTCTGATAGATATTTAGAAAAACTTCGTCTGTACATGAGGAAAGTAAATGGAAGTTAGTGCGGCCCAGTACCTAATGACCCCCGGACCAGCACTGGTCCACAGTCCAGGGGTTGGGGACACTCGTAAAAACGAATCGCTTCTTAAATATCTGCAGAACCATCTGTGGCCTGAGCTGAAACTGAGGTCCATGTCAGAGGAGAATTCAATCTGTTTGAGTTTTATAGACTCAACAAATGAAACCGCAGCCTGTCGGTGCAAAACCTGCCAAAACTCACAACTCCAACAGCTGCGTGCTGGGGCTGTGATTGTGTTTTTTTTTTTGCTTCCTTATTAAACTAACGACAGATTCCTAAATAATCCTGCAGCTAGTCTTAGAAATTCCTCACTCAGGAAATCATCATGACCGTGACCTGAGCGGCTGGAGAAGTGGCTCCTGGTGAGTCACTCCACTTCTCTGCCGTCTGCATGTAAAAACCACATTGTGACTCCAGTCCAAACTGAGGTTCCTCCTCGCTGGAAACACTCTCCTAGTGATACCAAATGTTTTGGGCGGAGTCTCTCACTCACTCTAGACTCCGACTCCGCTGCAGGATCGCTCAGTGCGCTGCTCGACAACAACAGAAGCAGAAGCACTGAAGTGGTGTTGGCTGTGAAAAGACGGGGCGTTTTCCTGTGTGGGTGTATCAGCCTGGGTTTAAAAAAAAAAAAAATACAGGGTTGCCCTCGAGGGTGCATTAACTGACAGGTCGCAGCAAAACTCAAGGACGCGTCAGCCCTCTGCTGCAGATTCTTTCAAACTGGATTAAGAACAGCTGCACGGAGGACTACAGCTACTTTCTTTAGAAGAAGAAGAAGAAAACAAACCGGAGCTACTGCGGGATTTTATTTGAGCTTTTCACCATGTTGAAGCTGAAGCATAAGTTTGGCTCTAAGAAGCGCCTGAACAGCGCCTCCAGCAGCACAGTGGGCTCCATCAGCGACCTGAGCGACAGAGTAATCATGCTGTGTGAGGAGATCCCCACCGAGACCACCATTCACCCAGCTCGATGCTCCCACTGCCCAGGAAACCGCTCCAGTCGATGTTCCCACAGTGAGGAGCGGGAGTCAGGATCGGAGTCTCAGGTTGTCCACCTGAGCCGGGACAGGTCGTCCAACAGACATGTCTGCTACGTGGACCAAGAACAAGCGCAGAGTTACAGAGGACACTACGTCCAGAGAGTGACCCGAGTGGTTTAGCAACACCTTTGGTTTCTTTTTCTTTTCATTCATTTTCTTGTGGTTCTTGTGGTTTTCCTTGACTTGAGTTTTTAATCCTTTACAAGTTTTTACTAACGTGCACCGACAGGTCGTTACTCTTTCTAGCAAAGTGCACTCACGATCCGCCGTGTGATGTGGTTTAAAAATAGAAATTTGATTGAATTCTCCTCCACTAGTGTGGACTCCTGTTTTTTCTTGCCCTCTCTGGAGTTCAGCCTGAAGCAGTTTCAGTTAACACGAAACATGTTGGCTAACGTAATTCACCTGCTGCTGCGCTGGGGATTTATGACTGGCAGGCAAATGAAAAAGTCTTTAAAATTCCTCAATTTTATTGTTTTTTTTTTGTTGTTTTTTTTTTCTCAAGATGGAAAAAGTTTGGACGTGTTTTTTAGGTTTTTGATTATATTTAGATTCCTAAAAAATAGGTGAGTTGTAGTTTAAATAATCATGTCCATTTGTTCTTCAGGAATGTCGACTCAAAAGTCAAAAGGATATTTGTTTTTTAATAATTGCCTAAAATGTTGACATGTTTTTGCAGACATTTATTAAATAAAAATGTGCAACACGATACATAAAGATAAGATGATGTTGTTTCTGAGCTAGCCAAGCTAGCCAAGCTAGCCTCAAAGAGCTAGCATTAGCTAAATAATGTTGTTTACAATAATCATGTCATTGAACTAAAAGATTCATGTCCTGTGGTTAAATGTTGTAAAAATCTTATTACCAAAATAGTCCAAAAGAAATATATATATATATACAGTCTATAAATACCAAAACTATAAAAAACAGCCAGTAAGGGAAAACTTAGCTGGCTGCTTGTCGTTCAGCGTAAACCCTGTCAGTGAATCATGTTTTTCCAGTGGTCACATATTTCAGTCTGTAGTTGACGGTAATCACAGTGTACTGAAGGATTTCCAGTAACTGTTCTCCTTTTCCTTCTCCTTTTCCTCCTGCTCTGTCCAGGCCCGCTCTCATAGACATGAACCAGGTTTACAGACAGAGTAACCAGGAGAACCTGGAGCAGGCCTTCAGCGTTGCTGAGAGAGAACTGGGAGTCACCAAACTGCTGGACCCTGAGGGTGAGAGAAGAAACCTTTTTTTATTATCAAGTATTTTTCCAAGGGAGGTTTTTTAAGGACTTTTTTTTTTTTTTTCCTCCTCCCCGACAGATGTTGACGTTCCTCATCCAGATGAGAAATCCATCATCACATACGTCTCCTCTCTGTATGATGTCATGCCCAGGGTGCCAGATGTCCAGGATGGTGTGAAATACAATGTCAGTTCATCCGCTCTTCTAAATATATATTTTAGATAGAAATATCTAAGATTAAATACAATCTTAGATATTATAAATATAAAACAACTGAAACAACAAGAACCCCTGACATCAATTAAATTGAATAATTAAAATTGATTAAACTATAAATTTATTTAAAAAATGTATAGTTACGTAAAAGTAATGAACTAATTGATGCCAAATAACTGGAATTAGCTTCATTTTACAAGAAGCTTGAAACTTTTCTAAAATAAAATCCCTGGCTGATATGATAAATACCAGTGAGTAGACTTTTATTTAGTTTTCTACTGCAACGTCTGCTGCAACAACAGCCACGTGAATTCCATTTTGCCGTCTGCTGCAACAACAGCCACGGGAATCCCATTTTGCTGCAGAGTTGCTTGGTGCTACATTGATGAGAACAAAAAACAAAAATAATAATAATAATTATCACGTTGTTTGTCCTGAAGGAGCTGGAGCTGCGCTGGCATGAGTACTACGAGCTGGTCACTGTACTGCTGCAGTGGATCAGACACCACATCCTGGTCTTTGAAGAGAAGAAGTTCCCCAACAGCTACGAAGAGATAGAGGTCAGAAAAAAGAATTCAAACAAAAAAGCAGGCACAGTGTGACGTTATAACTTAGAAATTATTTTTAATTTATTTTATTGATGTCCAGGTTTTGTGGCGTCAGTTCCTCAAGTTTAAGGAAACTGAGCTCCCAGCAAAAGAGGCGGACAAGAACCGCTCCAAGCACATCTTTAAATCTTTTGAGGTAAGTTTTTATTTTTTTAGTTTTTTTAAAGTGTTTAGCGTTTAGTGTTTAAAATTTTCATCAAAAGTTTTTAGTTTTTGACCAAAAACGACATGTAAAGTTAACATTTTGACAACAAAATTTATACATAAAAAATTATAAAAAAGTTCTCTAAAGGCCCTAATTTTATGAGAAACAAGCAAGTATAGAGAAAGGTTTGAAAAATAATTTTACTACAAATTTTATCAAAAGTTTTTAGTTTTTGACCAAAAACAACATGAAAAGATCACATTTTTTTAAGATATTTTATACAGAAAAATTTCGAAAAAAAATGTTCTCTAAAGGCCCTAATTTTATGAGAAACATGGAAGTAAAGAAAAAAGTTTTAAAACTAATTGTACTAATATTACCATCAAATCTTTTTTTGTTTTTGACCAAAAATGACATAGAAAATTCAGGCAAAAAAATAAAAAGTCCCAGAAATGCCTCAAAATGCAAGATTAGGTCCTAAAACATGCTACCAGGTGAATATTTTGTGTTTAAAACTCCAAAAAGTATTTTTTATGAATATTTGAAAAATCACCCAAAACATGCCTTACTATAGCCTTACCATCGTGAAAATATCGATAAAAATAAAAAGTCCCCGAAATGCCTTAAAATGCAAGACTATGTCCTAAAGCATGCTGCCAAGTGAATATTTTGTGTTTTAAAGTCCAAAAAGTATTTTTTATGAATATTTGAAAAATCACCCAAAACATGCCTTACTATAGCCTTACCATCGTGAAAATATCCATAAAAATAAAAAGTCCCCGAAATGCCTTAAAATGCAAGACTATGTCCTAAAGCATGCTGCCAAGTGAATATTTTGTGTTTTAAAGTCCAAAAAGTATTTTTTATGAATATTTAAAAAAGCACCCAAAACATGCCTTACTATAGCCTTACCATCGTGAAAATATCCATAAAAATAAAAAGTCCCCGAAATGCCTTAAAATGCAAGACTATGTCCTAAAGCATGCTGCCAAGTGAATATTTTGTGTTTTAAAGTCCAAAAAGTATTTTTTATGAATATTTAAAAAAGCACCCAAAACATGCCTTACTATAGCCTTACCATCGTGAAAATATCCATAAAAATAAAAAGTCCCCGAAATGCCTTAAAATGCAAGACTATGTCCTAAAGCATGCTGCCAAGTGAATATTTTGTGTTTTAAAGTCCAAAAAGTATTTTTTATGAATATTTAAAAAAGCACCCAAAACATGCCTTACTATAGCCTTACCATCGTGAAAATATCGATAAAAATAAAAAGTCCCCGAAATGCCTTAAAATGCAAGACTATGTCCTAAAGCATGCTGCCAAGTGAATATTTTGTGTTTTAAAGTCCAAAAAGTATTTTTTATGAATATTTAAAAAAGCACCCAAAACATGCCTTACTATAGCCTTACCATCGTGAAAATATCGATAAAAATAAAAAGTCCCCGAAATGCCTTAAAATGCAAGACTATGTCCTAAAGCATGCTGCCAAGTGAATATTTTGTGTTTTAAAGTCCAAAAAGTATTTTTTATGAATATTTAAAAAAGCACCCAAAACATGCCTTACTATAGCCTTACCATCGTGAAAATATCCATAAAAATAAAAAGTCCCCGAAATGCCTTAAAATGCAAGACTATGTCCTAAAGCATGCTGCCAAGTGAATATTTTGTGTTTTAAAGTCCAAAAAGTATTTTTTATGAATATTTAAAAAAGCACCCAAAACATGCCTTACTATAGCCTTACCATCGTGAAAATATCCATAAAAATAAAAAGTCCCCGAAATGCCTTAAAATGCAAGACTATGTCCTAAAGCATGCTGCCAAGTGAATATTTTGTGTTTTAAAGTCCAAAAAGTATTTTTTATGAATATTTAAAAAAGCACCCAAAACATGCCTTACTATAGCCTTACCATCGTGAAAATATCCATAAAAATAAAAAGTCCCCGAAATGCCTTAAAATGCAAGACTATGTCCTAAAGCATGCTGCCAAGTGAATATTTTGTGTTTTAAAGTCCAAAAAGTATTTTTTATGAATATTTAAAAAAGCACCCAAAACATGCCTTACTATAGCCTTACCATCGTGAAAATATCCATAAAAATAAAAAGTCCCCGAAATGCCTTAAAATGCAAGACTATGTCCTAAAACATGCTGCCAAGTGAATATTTTGTGTTTTAAAGTCCAAAAAGTATTTTTTATGAATATTTAAAAAAGCACCCAAAACATGCCTTACTATAGCCTTACCATCGTGAAAATATCCATAAAAATAAAAAGTCCCCGAAATGCCTTAAAATGCAAGACTATGTCCTAAAGCATGCTGCCAAGTGAATATTTTGTGTTTTAAAGTCCAAAAAGTATTTTTTATGAATATTTAAAAAAGCACCCAAAACATGCCTTACTATAGCCTTACCATCGTGAAAATATCCATAAAAATAAAAAGTCCCCGAAATGCCTTAAAATGCAAGACTATGTCCTAAAGCATGCTGCCAAGTGAATATTTTGTGTTTTAAAGTCCAAAAAGTATTTTTTATGAATATTTAAAAAAGCACCCAAAACATGCCTTACTATAGCCTTACCATCGTGAAAATATCCATAAAAATAAAAAGTCCCCGAAATGCCTTAAAATGCAAGACTATGTCCTAAAACATGCTGCCAAGTGAATATTTTGTGTTTTAAAGTCCAAAAAGTATTTTTTATGAATATTTAAAATTGCATTTTAACGCATTTCGGGGACTTTTTATTTTTACGGATATTTTCACGATGGTAAGGCTATAGCAAGGCAAGTTTTGCGTGAAAAGATCCATAAAAATAGAAAGTCCCCGAAATGCCTTAAAATGCAAGAATAGGTCCTAAAACATGCTGCCAAGTGAATATTTTGTGTTTAAAACTCCAAAAAATATTTTATTTGAATATTTGAAAAATCACCCAAAACACGCCTTACTATAGCCTTACCACCGTGAAAAAATCGAAAAAAATAAAAAGTCCCCAAAATGCCTTAAAATGCAAGACTAGGTCCTAAAACATGCTGCTAGGTGAATATTTTGTGTTTAAAACTCCATGCAAGAAAAGATAAAAGTTTGACAAATAATTTTACTAAAATGTTCATCAAACTTCTTTAGTTTTTCACCAAAAAAGTCATGAAAAGTTTACATTTTGACAAAACATTTTATACAGAAAAATTTAGAAAAATGTTCTCTAAAGGCCCTAATTTTATGAGAAACATTCAAGAAATAATAAAAGTTTAAAAAATAAATTTATTAAAAGTTTCATCAAACGTTTTTAGTTTTTGATCAAAAACGACATGCAAAAATGACATTTTGACATAAAATTTTATACAGAATTTTTTTAAAAAATATTCTCTAAAGGCCCTAATTTTATGAGAAACATTCAAGAAATAATAAAAGTTTAAAAAATAAATTTATTAAAATTTTCATCAAAAGTTTTTAGTTTTTGATCAAAAACGACATGCAAAAATGACATTTTGTAGGTCCTAAAACATGCTGCCAGGTGAATATTTTGTGTTTAAAACTCCAAAAAATATTTTATTTGAATATTTGAAAAATCACCCAAAACATGCCTTACTATAGCCTTACCATCGTGAAAATATCGATAAAAATAAAAAGTCCCCGAAATGCCTTAAAATGCAAGATTAGGTCCTAAAACATGCTGCCAGGTGAATATTTTGTGTTTAAAACTCCAAAAAATATTTTATTTGAATATTTGAAAAATCACCCAAAACATGCCTTACTATAGCCTTACCATCGTGAAAATATCGATAAAAATAAAAAGTCCCCGAAATGCCTTAAAATGCAAGATTAGGTCCTAAAACATGCTGCCAGGTGAATATTTTGTGTTTAAAACTCCAAAAAATATTTTATTTGAATATTTGAAAAATCACCCAAAACATGCCTTACTATAGCCTTACCATCGTGAAAATATCGATAAAAATAAAAAGTCCCCGAAATGCCTTAAAATGCAAGATTAGGTCCTAAAACATGCTGCCAGGTGAATATTTTGTGTTTAAAACTCCAAAAAATATTTTATTTGAATATTTGAAAAATCACCCAAAACATGCCTTACTATAGCCTTACCATCGTGAAAATATCGATAAAAATAAAAAGTCCCCGAAATGCCTTAAAATGCAAGATTAGGTCCTAAAACATGCTGCCAGGTGAATATTTTGTGTTTAAAACTCCAAAAAATATTTTATTTGAATATTTGAAAAATCACCCAAAACATGCCTTACTATAGCCTTACCATCGTGAAAATATCGATAAAAATAAAAAGTCCCCGAAATGCCTTAAAATGCAAGATTAGGTCCTAAAACATGCTGCCAGGTGAATATTTTGTGTTTAAAACTCCAAAAAATATTTTATTTGAATATTTGAAAAATCACCCAAAACATGCCTTACTATAGCCTTACCATCGTGAAAATATCGATAAAAATAAAAAGTCCCCGAAATGCCTTAAAATGCAAGATTAGGTCCTAAAACATGCTGCCAGGTGAATATTTTGTGTTTAAAACTCCAAAAAATATTTTATTTGAATATTTGAAAAATCACCCAAAACATGCCTTACTATAGCCTTACCATCGTGAAAATATCGATAAAAATAAAAAGTCCCCGAAATGCCTTAAAATGCAAGATTAGGTCCTAAAACATGCTGCCAGGTGAATATTTTGTGTTTAAAACTCCAAAAAATATTTTATTTGAATATTTGAAAAATCACCCAAAACATGCCTTACTATAGCCTTACCATCGTGAAAATATCGATAAAAATAAAAAGTCCCCGAAATGCCTTAAAATGCAAGATTAGGTCCTAAAACATGCTGCCAGGTGAATATTTTGTGTTTAAAACTCCAAAAAATATTTTATTTGAATATTTGAAAAATCACCCAAAACATGCCTTACTATAGCCTTACCATCGTGAAAATATCGATAAAAATAAAAAGTCCCCGAAATGCCTTAAAATGCAAGATTAGGTCCTAAAACATGC